GTTAAAAATGTCCGAAACAACAAGGCCAGTGAAAAAAGTCTTTATCACAAATCCAGTCTCAAAAATCCAAAAGGCAAGAAATAGTATAAATTCAGAACATATCTATGTCTACCATTCATCCATGCTTAGAATATTGCTGCCACATATGGTTGGGGGACCCTGGTATTTACCTTGATCTCCTTGATAAGATCCAAAGAAGAATCAGCAATATTATTAGCCTTGATCTGGCAGCTTAGCTTCAGTCACTTTCCCACAGGCATAAGATTGCCTCCCTGTGACTTTTCTATAAATACTTTATCTAGAATGTAGACTTGATGTATTTAAGCACAGTACTATACTGGTGTCAAGATCTCATCAATTTACAATCGAGTTGCCTAGATGTAACTGTCAATTCTATGCTAACAGTTTTTTCTTGCACTTCTCGCTTGTAGAACTCATGTTTTCCAGCCAACTTTAAACTTCAAAAATTTAAATGCAATTTCAATTTTTATCTACCATCCTCCAGATTACTCTTTTCTCTTTCTGCTCATTAGTAATGTTTCTGTTTCTAATTCTTCCACACCTAGTAACCACTTGTGTCTTACTGGCTTTAATGCCTTGTTTGGGGTGAAATAAATTAAAAAAAAAGTCGAATGTCAAAAGTCAGTGTAAGACAGCTTCTTCCCCAGAACTCTCACTTTGTACTCCTGAGTGTATAATTCCCTAATCACTACAATCTTAACTCAAATCTAGGGTTAGCTGTTATCTACATTAATGTGCACCACTTACAACAATCTCATTCAACAATCTTCTAGATTGAGTGGCTCTTGGGCCTATTATTGGGTGAAAAATAGTATGCAAAAAAGACTTTTCAAATTCTTTAAAATGAAGTTAATAAAAAGCAAACTATTCTCATTATTTACTAGAGATATTCCATTGTTATGCTAAAACAATTTGTGTTCACTTTCTGACATTGTTAAATGTCTCCTGTTATCATGAGAACGAAATATCTCATCAGTAATTAGAGTATATCATGCAGATCAATATAAATTTATACTGTGATTTATTTTGCAGAAAAGATGAATGAAAATTATCTGAATGTTCCAGTTTTGCTTAATGGAATCAGCTGGTTTTTGTTAGTAAAAATAATTGCCAACAATTCAAAATAATTTCATTCCATTTCTTTATTAAATTATTCATAAACGAATGAAATTAATTCAAACTGATAGTATGCTGATGCATTCTGTTGATTGATTGAATTTTTTTTTTTTTTTTTACAGCTGATCAATCCTTTGTGCGTTATTTCAAAACATGAAACATATTTCAGACTGTAGGATGTTGCTTACAGTACCTAATGTTCTCAGGCCATCACCTATTTAATTACTGATCAGGCTTGACATTGCTTAAGCATTCCTCTTGAAAAAATCTAACATGAACAATAGATCCTGTGAGCCTTCAAAATAAGCAAGTATTTTGAAAAACTGCTGAATGGGAAAAAGAGTGGTTATAGGAAAATAAATCAAAAAAGTTATTTGCGTGTGTGTATATATCTGACATGTATGGAGGATTCAAATTGCCCAAAAGACTTTTTTTTTTTTATGATACAAGGTAATCAACCCACTCATGAGTCCAAAAAAATACTTCAAAAATTTAGTTAAATGTAACCTGAAGACTCTTGGTGTTAATGCTGAAGACTGTTGCTGGAGATAGAAATCGCTGGAGAAGGTTGATTTAGGAACTCTGCAACAATTTTTAACAGAAGAGAATTAAGCATTCCAATAAAAAGTGTGCCATTAGAAAGAGACAAATAGAATGTGTCCCAGAGCTATTAAGGATGCCAACATGCTTAATGTATTTGTGGAAATGTCACCCTTTTTGGCAGCTGGTTTAGATCACACCAGGGACATCAGATGCAAACTTCTGCGAATACAACCTTACCAGAAAAACCTGCAGGTAACTTGTAGCAGATGTTTGTGACAAGGTTTGTAATCTGTTGTGGGATTCAAACAACACATGATTGTACAGAGGGACAGGCAAGTATTGAACAGAGGTAACACAAACAAAATTTGTTTGCCATGTGTGTAAGAGAGGTTGTAAAAGTGAAGCTGACCTTTAAAATTACTTACAGGCCCATAGCAGAGCATTAGCTCAAGTAAAAATGATGGAAATAATAATATTCTGAATGAAAAACACAAAAATAAGTTACCAAGTGAAGAGATGGTCTTCTTCTGCAAAGAAGTGAAAATCATCATATATTTTGTACAGAGTCGAGATACTTTATAAAAAATAAATATGAACTTTGGCAAATTTACTGATAATATATATATATATATATATATATATATATATATATATATATATATAAAAGAAACCATATTTTAAATCAATTAATTTATAATATTTATGCTCTGTAAATTTACACTGACCACTGTTTGTAAAAATAAAAATATCAATAAGAACACCGGATCATATATCTTACTGTTCTTTTTTTATTATTTTTTATATATATATATATATATATATATATATATATATATACATAGACACACACATACACATATATACAGACATATATATATATATATATATATATATATATATATATATATATATATATATATATATAGACACATACATACACATATATACAGACATATATATATATATATACCAACACACACACATATATATATTTATAAAAAGTTGAAAATAATTATAATTCAGATTCTACTTCTGTATCGAGCACTGTTTTTTTAAAATAAAAACAAAAATACTAAAGATCCTAAGATCAACAATCTAACAGTTATTTCCTATAATATCAACACACATGCGCGTGCACACACACAGACATACATATATACATACACACACACACACACACACACATATATATGTATAAAAAATTTTAAAAATAATTATAACTTAGGCTCAACTTCTCTAAAATAAAAACAAAAATACTAAAGAACCTAGGATCAACAATCTAACAGTTATTTCCTATAATATCAACATACACGTGCACACACACACACATATATATATATATCTCACATAGATACATACAAAAATTTAAATCACCTAGCCCACCTTGACTTGAAGCATAACTTTGCTTTTTATTTTTGATATATTGCATCATCAGCTGCCTTCTCTCATCATTTTCCATAAAAGAACAAATTTGGGAAAAGCAAAAAAAAGAGAAAGTGAGTAAAGAAAATGAGAAGGACAAAAGGATAAAGAGGAAAAGTAAGGAAGCTGAAGAAAACAAAGGAAGGAGAGGTGGAGACAAATGAGGGACAGAGTAAAAAACATCCTCTTGTCTTGAGTTTGTTTTGCTTTTTCTTTTATCACTCCATTACCCCTTTAAAAGTGAGTGAGATTCTTTTTGTTTTTTTCCCACTTGAAGCCTAGTACACACCTTTCAGTTTATTTGGTTTGTTTGGTTTATTTTGTTTTACGGCATATCAACACCTCAATGGGTTATTTAATGCCAACAAAATTTTTTATTGCTGGTAATATTTTGTTTTGTCAAAAATCTGTTTCTGGTAATATATTTCCTCATTGCTGGCAATAATTTTTTTCAAAAAAGTATTGCTGGTAATAGTTAACTATTTGCCCATAGCTGGGACCCTAACAAGTGCTACCACTCCAGGTCGGGGTGGACCTGGGAACATCAGCAATTAAGAGGTGGTTCCACACTCCTCAAAACCTCCTGATCAGAGGCCTTGCTGCTGGACGTAGTTTAATGTCTTGCCCAGGACGCAGATGTAGTTTAACATCTTACCCAAGATGTGGATGTAGTTTAACTTCTTACTCAGGACAACACCTTTCAGAGCAACGCAGGTAGATACCATGGTATTAATTTACAGATTAGATGTAACTTACTCAAAAGAACAATCTGCCCTTATAGTTTATATAGAAGTTTGGGTTTTAAATTCAGAGAAGTTTACTGTAAAGAAAAACAGAAAGCACTTTAAGCTTGTAATCAAGCTTTATTCAATGCAATTTGACCACTGCCCATGTGTGAGTTTCAAACATTACCTTTTATCATAGAATAGTTTGAGGGGGAGACAACTGTAGTTGTTTTCAGCACAGTTACCAACTTTGGCAGATACCAAAAGTGGAATATAAAACATTGTCTATACTTCTAAGATAAGGTTTTGAAACTAATTACATGATTTACATTTTTATTGTCTCATTCACGACGTTTCAGTCATTATATGCTCCAGCCTACTTCAGGTAATATCTGTTATTTCCAACCAAGCCTTTATTTGTCCATGTGCCCCCAAGAATGGCACATTGGCTGATTGTCCTAAAAAGTGATTTGATCTGGAGAGTTGTGAGTCCAATACCTGGTCATAGCAAAGGAAACATAAACTTGGAGAGCTGATTTACTAAGGAGAATTAACTGAAGCCAAGATAGCCAAACGCATGGTGCATGAAATTAGAACACTCTACCCCGACAGACTAAATAATGGGTTTGGCTCAAAATTCCAACAAATATCACCTGAAGAAGTCCAGAGTGTACAATGATCGAAATGTTGTTAATGAGATAGTAAAGACGAGGACAACGGTCCAAATAATTTAAATACCATAAATAATGGAATATTATGTCTATAACAAGTCTGGAATGAGTAATCTACAGTAATATGAGAAAAAGATTTAGAAAAATGATTATTTCAAGTTACAGTGCCAATTATACAACCCCGCTGGAATGTGTCTGTGATCTTTGGCCTTTGAGAAATTCAAGCATTGCATCTGCAGCAAATTCTGAGTTAAGTTTGGGAAATCTGTTTCTGAGATGCTCAAAATATCAAACATTCTTTAGGTCAACAAATACAGCTCTTGGAGTGATATATGGGTCTGAAGTCATTGTTGGATACTCTGGTGATTGAGGAAGCCCAATCATGAGCGAAATGTCGGACAACTTAGAAAATATTTGTGAACTCATCCATGATGACAGTCACTGATATAACCCATCAATTCTCTCACATGAACGAGATCAGTGCTATAGAGTAATGGTATAGATGATTTTCCAACTTCAGCAGAGAACTCTAAGATACCATTATCATATTAGTTGGTCTACATCCAAAAAGATAGGCACTAAGGCCTACAAACAATATCTATTCCATTCTGTCTATCCATTCCTTCTGGCCTTCTCTTGTAGACTTTCTTCCCTTCCTTTTTTTTTTCTCTTCACCTCAATTTTATCCATTCCTTCCTTATTTTCTTTAAGTCACTATATCTTTTATAAAAACAAAAATAAACTAAACGAAATAGGCTTAGATTTGGGCATTGGAACGAGAATTGTCTACCCACCATAAATTAAATAAAGGGTTCAGTTTGAAGTTGCCAGTAGGTTATCCAGATCACTGTCCACCTGATGAAGGCTAGAGGTCAAAATGGTTGAAGCATTGTGATGACAATAACATAGATGAGGATTAATACAATGTAAATAAAATAAATGATGTTAATGCCTCGTCACAGAAATTCAAACAGAAATTTATTTTTTCTTTCTTTCTCTTTTATGCATTTCTTCTTTCTCTTTCTCAAAGACACCGTTCCTTTCTATCTCTTCTTCCTCTTTCATTTGTTCCTTCTCTCCCTTTCTCAGAGACACTCTTCATTTCTTTCCCTTTTTCTTTCTTTTTCATATCGTCAAACGTAATTATTTCTTCTCTTTCCCCTTTCAACACAAACCCTATTTCTTTCTCTTCCTTTCATCCATTCTTTCCTTGAGGGCCCGTCTAGTCCGGTTGTGTCTGGGCTGCAGCCCATATGAAAAACCTAGCACTGCATCTTCCTTTCTTCCTCTTATCCTCATCCATACCTTCCTTCCTTCCTTCCTTTCTCTTATCCTCATCCATACCTTCCTTCCTTCCTTCCTTTCTCTTATCCTCATCCATACCTTCCTTTCTTTCTCTTATCCTCATCCATACCTTCCTTTCTTCCTCTTATCCTCATCCATACCTTCCTTCCTTCCTCTTATCCTCATCCATACCTTCCTTCCTTCCTTCCTCTTATCCTCATCCATACCTTCCTTCCTTTCTTCCTCTTATCCTCATCCATACCTTCCTTCCTTTCTTCCTCTTATCCTCATCCATACCTTCCTTCCTTTCTTCCTCTTATCCTCATCCATACCTTCCTTCTTTCTTCCTCTTATCCTCATCCATACCTTCCTTTTCTTCCTCTTATCCTCATCCATACCTTCCTTCCTTTCTTCCTCTTATCCTCATCCATACCTTCCTTCCTTTCTTCCTCTTATCCTCATCCATACCTTCCTTCCTTTCTTCCTCTTATCCTCATCCATACCTTCCTTCCTTTCTTCCTCTTATCCTCATCCATACCTTCCTTCCTTTCTCTTATCCTCATCCATACCTTCCTTCCTTTCTTCCTCTTATCCTCATCCATACCTTCCTTTCTTCCTCTTATCCTCATCCATACCTTCCTTCCTTTCTTCCTCTTATCCTCATCCATACCTTCCTTCCTTTCTTCCTCTTATCCTCATCCATACCTTCCTTCCTTTCTTCCTCTTATCCTCATCCATACCTTCCTTCCTTCCTTCCTCTTATCATCATCCATACCTTCCTTCCTTCCTTCCTCTTATCCTCATCCATTCTTTCCTTTCTTTTTATACAGACTTTCTTTCTCTCTTCCCTTTTCATACTTACATCTACTTTCTTCTTTTTTCATAGACCCTATTTCTTTTTTTCCTTCCCATTTTACTTTCTTCCATTCCTCCCTTCTCTTAGCCCCTCTTCCTTTCTTTCATCTTTTCATGTTTTCTTTCTTTTCTAATCAGCCCTTATTCCTTACTTTCCTCCTCTTCTTTTCATCCCCCATTCAACAACCGCCATAGCAACCTGTTTACAGACATTTCCTGACCTGCCTAATGGATTCTCACTTGATTCCAGAATTGTCAAGACAGCAACTCATTAGCTAGTGACTGACTTGTCTGAAACTACGGACTGCCGAACCAAATGGCTGACCAATCAGTAGAAAGAGAGGAAAAAAAAAAAAAAAAAGAGAAGGAAAGAAAGAAATGCCTTCATTAGCCCAATGATCTAACTGACCATCATGGAAGAAGCTTCAGGCAAATTCCATCAATTCAAATTACGAAAGCTCTGACATACATATTTGACTTCATTGCAGTCAACATCATTTGCTAAATGCATTCATAAAGTCAGTTTAGAAACAAAAAAAGATAATGAAAAGAATGTCATATTTTTGGTATGTGCAAAGTTCTCAAAGATGGCAGCAAAATTGCAGATGTCTTTTAGATTCAGTTCTTGACCAGCTGAGTCAAATGAATCCTAAATGACAATCCACATCTGTTTTAATAAATTTTCATGAAGTGGAATATGTGCCTAGATTTTCCTGGATTACACAAGTACTTTTCTATGGTGTAGTGGTTGACAAGCTAGACTCACTGAACTGGTGTGATGGATAAGGAGTCAGAATGAGAAATCAGAAAATGTTTGATATTTTGAGCGTCTCAGAAACAGATTTACCAAACTTAACTCAGAA